TTTTTTATCAATAAACGGTCTATTTCTTTTTCTATTTAACATTGTATATGTCCAACAATTTGCTACAAATGTTTAGTCTTCTAGCTTAAATAATTTTTACTATAAATACCAAATTTATAATATTAAATACACAAATAATCAATAACTATAAAATTTTAATATTAATTTTAGCCATGTTAATTTTTACCCACGCAACGCGTAGACAATTCTTAGTATAAAAGAGACTATAGAATTCTATTGGACACACAATATCCGATAAAGATATAAAGTGCATAAAAATGTGAAAAAAAAAAAATTTGAAACAAAGAAAAACTTCCCAAACATCTTATATTATGAAACCAAGGGCGTCTAAATTTTTGTCTTGCTTGTAAACCATGTTTGTCATGCCCATCAAGGCATAGTAAGAGAATCTTGATGTTGTCTTTAATAGCATCAATTCGAGTTGAGCTTTATTTCCGAATGTTTTCGCAGGATATCATTCAGTCCATGCCTCATGATGCACATCCAGCGAGTGTTATTGTCAGCGCGATGAGTACACTTTCCATCTTTCATCATGAAGCAAATCCTTCTCTCAAGGTCAGTTATATAAAGATATGTTTTTTTCAAAAATTCATTTTTGTGTTCTTGATTTCACGGAAATTCTCATTGTATGCAGGGCCACAATATGTACAAGTCAAAACAAGTTTGTGATAAACAGATTTTTCGTATTCTTGGACAGGTATTGTTGTGTCTGTTGATTTGGTCCCTTAATTGTATAACCAGACTCTGAACTAGTGTGTTTATATACACAAGTAGAATTAAGCCAAAGGAAACTTAATCCTAATCCTCTCTTATCTTAAACCAACTTTATACAATATATAATGCTAATAAAGACTACTGTCTAGAAGTTAATGCAGGTTGGTAATCCATAAAAATCATAGGATGAAGTTTGCATTCGACATTTACAACTATGGTGTACATTATGACATGACTCCCGAGTTAGATGTGTTTTTATTTCTATTTTCTTAAACTTAATTTCGTATACGGTAATACTTAAATGTTGTAGATTCTGTGTGCAACTTGTCTTCATCATAGTTACGTTTTTGCCATGTGGAGAAAGTTTTCTCTCGTCAAGTCTTTAAATTTCGATTCCATCCAATTTTATTGTCTTCTCGTTTGTAACGCTTCTCAGACGACAAAAAAAAAAACTTTGATCGAAACGATGGTGCCCA